GAAGTGATATAATGTATAGGCCTGTTGTGGTTCGGGGTCTTTCATCTTTCAGCTGCCTGCGTGCATGTTGGAGGTGCAAGATACCTGAGCGTGTAATGTTAATTTTTACCTGTGTTCATTGAATAAATCAGCACTGTTTTGAAGTTACTTGGACTGCTTCGTCTCTCAGAGTTAGCATGGTAAAAAGTACCGGAGACAACATGACCGAAACACGCTTTGGCACAGTGGTTTGAAACAATTGCTTTATGAGCTACCGCGCATGTGTCGGAGCCTCGGGTGTCATAGGGCCATCACTAGCTACGCTATCTCCGTTCCTCTCCTCCTGTACCTCCAGCGATCTCTCCCTCGCCTACCTGGGCGGACGTCATTCTCCGGTGCTCCCAGGTCAGTCAGATTGTCACACCCAGGCTTTACTCATCCTCTCCTGTCCTTCCTGTTGCCAGAACCTGCTGTCTCAGCCTTTCCTGCCTCTCCTGCTGTCGAGACCTGCGATCTCAGACTGCCACACTTACCTCCTCTCCTTGCTGTGCTCTCCGGCAAATCCATTCCTCCAGGGTACGGACACTTCCCCGATCACCACGTCTCATCAACCTTCAGACCCAGGACTGTCACTATTAACCTGATGTTCTTCTAATAAACACTCCCGCTTGAACTGTTGAGTCTGAATTCTGGGTCCAGCCTGTTTGCTCACTTCGCTCCAATGGGCGAGCACTCATAAGTGGAGATAAACCATACCAGCATCTGCACGGTTTTTCTCCACTCATTCATTCATGTTTTTCCTTTGTCACCAATCTGTGTAATGCGCGGTATTTTCAGAACATATAGTAATTGTCACACTCTATACTATGCGACAGTATTGTATACAACAGTAGAGAAACTATGACACTTGCTGAATTATTTGAAGCACTTTTTTCCCTCTAACTCTACTATGTTAAGTCTGCTTTTGTAATTTTTCTTCCACGTGCTGGGAGACTAGATATGTAGGGTATACATTAGGCAGACTTGAAAATGGCATGTTACAAGGCCCAGGCACAGGCAGCAAATACAAGCCTGTTTTGTGTATTTGGAATTTACACAGAAGAAACTGACGAAGCCTCTTGGATGAGAGGTGAAACATCTTCAACCTAGAAATCTAGTCCAGTTGATTTTTTCTAAGTTTTTTCAGTTTACTATGACCTGGATGACTGAGAATCTGCACAGACACAGAAAAAAGTTGTTGCTTTGCAGCAATTATTGTTTAATGACTGGACTTCTGCAGGCAAACATACCTCCTATAAGAACCCAGAGACTGACATAAGGTACAGTACAGTTAAAGGAAAGGGCAAAAACGTGACCTGTTCATTGAGCCCTAATATAGGCTTTTTGGGAAGACACACCATGAAATGATTTAAACAGTGATATAGTATTTTGTGTGTGTATATATATAAATATTTTTATATTAAGCTGTTTTTCTTTATAATGTATTAGAAACTGACTAAGACTAACAATTAGCTATAATCATTATTACACATTACCCCTTTTCACTGGAGATCTTTTCATCCAAACTCAACATCTAGAAAATCTACAAAAAACAAGGACTGAAAAAATTAAACAGATCAAGACATCATTTTTCTGTTTTAATAACAAAGACTGTACTTGAGTTCCATAAAGAACAAAGAGAGCCACCCCTCAGTGAGAGACACAAGTATAATTGTCTTGGAAAAACTGGAAAGTGTTGCATTTTAAGGGTTTGAACTGAGGGCAGGGTTTTTCAAAATGCATTCAGATCAAGCTGGAGAGGTGCAAAACAACAGGGTACATACATTCAAGATTCTAGAGGTTCTACAGAGTAAAATGTTGCCATGCTTTATCTAAAACTGTCCATCAGTTCTAGTCCATAGACACAATGGTATATAGATTCAGGTGGGGTTCTGTTAGCTTTATTTTTCCCTTTTCACTCTGTGTGCAGCGAAAGGCTTCATGTGTTTCAGAGTGCTCATGATAAGGATGAGGGGAAACTGAAACAGAGATATGTCTATAAAAAGAACAGTACATCAGAGGAACAGGCCCAGATTCTGCTGGATGCCTGTGAGTGCATGTACACAGAAAAAAAATTTATTCACACCTGTACAGAGGAAAAGGCCTGGTGTGTCTGCTTTTACAAGAAGAAGGCACCTCCTTTCCATTGTTAACTGTACACTACTGGCCTTAATGCACACCTGGCAAGTGCACATGTGTAGGCTATATACACTCATACATACAGTACATACAAGGATGGGAGGACAGCTGACAACTGCAGGGATGCAGAGGGACTGAGCGGAAGCTAGGCAGTGCTGACCATAGAAAATCAGTAGATCCACTGAACAAGTGTCTCTTGATCTCAATGAACAGTCCTAGTAGAAAGAGTTCTCTGGAAAGTTTCAGAGCTGCCATGAGATTTATTTTATTCTTTGGCACACCCCTGTTGTGCCAAAATGTTTCCTTATCAAACCCTTGGCAGACATGAATAAAATGTATCAAATATTCATCTATGTACATATAAAGATTTGTGCTCTTTGATTGATAGACAGGGCATCTGATGGCATCACTGACAGCCCCAAAATTCAAACTATGATCCCCCCCCCAAAAAAGGAGAAAAGAATCATAACAAGAACCACATAAACCACATACAAATATATACACGTTTGCAAACATCACGTTATTTTAAAAAAGCTACAGATACTGCCAAAACACAAACGCGGTGCTATTTTTAGTAAAACTAAACTTATTCAAAGTAACTTGTCACGTAATTACCACTCCATTTCACAACTCACTCCATCAGGGTTTCAAGTGGACACTGAACTAGCTGTTAAGCACTACCCTGGTGACAGGAGAAGGCCCTGCCACCACCACAGTGGCTCTCAAGTTCTGGTTGTCTTCTGAATATTTCAGTCTACAGATTTGTGACAACCCGAGCAATGAGCCATCCTCACCCCAAATTAACTGTGACCCCTCCTCATTGTGAGCATCATGATCAGCAAGTCACCATGGGTCTTTTACACTCCTACAAACCTAATTAGCAACAGAAACAATGTGACGAGTGAGTTTTATATATCTGCATTAACAAGTGACATCTCTGTATGGAAAATCAATGAAAAACTGTTTGATGCTTGAGAACAGCTTTATACTGGCTACATTCACATTGTAGCCAATTTTTTCACAAGCCAGACCCAACTACAACTGTACCTGGAATTACAGCAATATTCTATAAATTTAGTGTTACACTTCCATCAATAAACAAAGGTTAAATTCAAAGCAGCAGAGGCCAAGATATTCAATGCCTAATATGGGGTCAAGCTTCAAAAACAATACAATCCTACATTTCCTATAATAACACTCTACCATTAAACCACATATGCCTGGTAAATGCTCATATCTTTCGGTTTTCACACCCCCAAATTATAAAACAGACTTTTTGTTAAAAATGTGAAGCCTCAGGCCCAAACTGAGATAACTCTGATGACATCTTTTTTTCTTTTTGGCTTTATATGGCTACTGTCAGAGATATAACACTGTTTTCACAGACTGAGAAGGACTCCATGCGATGAGTAAACTGATCTTGATTAGTACAATCTGTGGAATGCCCCTTTAACTATATGAATTTAAACTTAAGTACAAGTGGTTGTGTAAAACATTTAGCTAATCTCTGATAGTCACTGCCTCAAAAACTGAGCTTTAGGCAATGTGTCTGGCCTAAAGGACAGGGAAACAGCCATGTTTCCCTGACCTGTTGCTCTGCCTTATGGGAACTGTATGCATTCTGTCAACCTGCTGATCATGCACACAGTTAAGTTCCCTGTTCCATCAATGGAGCAGGTACATTCTAAGGGTGAGGGAGGCAGGAGTGATTAGAAATCCCTCCCCCTGCTTTCACATCTCTACCTTCAGAACCTTACAGATACATGTCTCCTCTTCTCCATCTACAATAAAGTGCTTGAGCTAACAACACAAGAAAAATAAAAACAAAGCTAATACAAATCTATGGGTTCCTCTGCTCTCATGGTAGTCTCATTTCTGTAACAGGAGTTTGTGTGTTATTTAAATGTCCATGTTGTTTGTGAGTTGGCTCTGTTCCAGTGTGTAGCCTTCCATTTCCTGCCACTCTCTAATACTTTAGATTTTCAAGATAGGCAAGAGTCTCAAACATCTTTGAACCAATAAATAAAGATCTTTAACAACTTAAACATAGAGTAAATAACCACTGACATCATACAGTAAGTAGGGTGAGATTTCAGCCTTTGTTTCTGGATCCGTAGTTATCTTTGGTTGGAAATTGTGCATCAGTCACTTGTCACCATTCAGTTCGTGATGCAGCCAGTAAAACTAACTGATGATAAATACAGATAAAACCTATCAAATGAAAAGTGCTTTAACTGCTACAGGATGAAACAGCGGCTTTGTGAAGATAGTAGTCAACAGTCTTAGGGCAAGGCCCATCTGTGTGTGTTTATGTAAGGGCTACTACTCATACAGTGTGACAGTGCAGTAGCAGAGGGCGGAGATCCTGCGGTCCACACTGGCCTTGTCTGCAGGGAAAACACACAAAATGAGATCTTTTTGAGAGTTGTTAAGGCAAGCACAAATAGTATGCAGTTATTAGACCAACTGTAGGTGTGCACTTCTAGCCTGCTGTCAGAATTGATGAAAACATAACCAGCAGCCAAATCATTGGACCTAAAAAAAAACTGTAAAGTACTACTACAGCTATCATGCCATGTCATTGCAGTGTTATACTGTTACAGAATTAAGAGTGAATGTTATGACATAAAGTAAGATGCCATAAATGTGTGGGTTAGCAAAACAGTGAATTAAATGGGAGGCAGTCAAGTCAATGGAACATTTAGGGATAAATGAAACGCCATGTTAGACTGTTGTATGCAAAGGAAGATTATGCTGGGCAGTGACCTGCATAAAGGTCCTAAAGCAGCTGCTGGAGTGGAAACAACTTCCTAGAAACTACTGAACTGTGTAAGTTGTCATACACTAACATAGTAAGAAAAGCTTTCTTTTTTAATAAGAGTAAATATAATTAGTTGATTTATGTTAAATATTTAAACTTCACTTTCATGCAGATGAATCCATAACTATTAAGTTCAGCAAGTATCTTCCCCATGTTGAGAAGTGGCAGAATATGTGAAGATCATTAATCATTTGTAAACTTTGCTCCTAAGTAAGCAAAAAATCTATTCATTAGGATAATGGTGAATGCAACAAATTCTCTTAAATCACTCATATGTGCCATGTAGGACAAATCTGTTCATATGTGTGTTTGGCCCTAGGTGTAAGATTGACCGTAGTTTATACTCACATTTGACCACATTCTCAATGTCAGTGGGGTCCTGTAGAATCTTGGACAGGCCATCCAACAGCATGGCGGCCTTGCTGTAGCGGTAGGCTATATCCTCCGTCTGCTTGAACATCTCATCCAGAGCTGCTGACTGAACCTGACACACACGCACATCATCACATTGAGCTGACTAGTACAGATTATTGCTGAAATTTCCTAAACATATTGCTTGATAAAACTGGTGGGATTGACAAGAATCAATACCAGATTAAAGTCTTGCTTTTCTAAGCTTTGAAGATGCTTTGTGTCTCTGCACTGTGTGTCTGAAACTCACCATCTCCACAGCATGATTGTAGATGAGCTTCTCTGCGGTGACACTGTTGATCTCATCCACAAAGCGCTGCTTATCAGAGAAGAAGTGGTTCAGTTTGTCAGTCAGCTGCCGGCAGAGGGAGATGCAGCTTTTGTAACGCTCATTCAGATTCTTCACCACTGTGAGAAGAAAGGGAAGGAGTTCAGTATTTTTTTTTTTGCTTAAGTATAACTGTATGTGAAGGTTGTATACTGTATCCCTCTCCCTATTAAGTAAATAAAAGTTAGTAAACTAGACAGAGGTCAGTTACATAAAACCTAGCTACAGGATCTCTCTCCTGCTGCTGATGTGGGTGAACAACAGTTTTCACATAGAGTTTCTATTTCAATGCACTGGTAACAGTTTCAGTAATGGGAAGTGAAAGGTGAAATGTCCTTACCCTGTTTAACAGCAGAGGAAGGATTTAGCTTGGCTGATTTAATCTGAGCCTTGGCTAGGTGGAGGGAGGAAGCCAGGAGCTGGGCTGCCTTCATGTAGAGCACCAACTGCTCCACCTGCCTGTAGAGGGCAGCACAACCATAACATACAAGAAGGATGGAAACCCTTCAGCACTGCAGCACTGAACAAAAGGCCCTCTGACACTACATAATATTATTAATGGTATGCGATTATCAAAAAGTTAGACTACACTTTGGTCATCCTTTACCCCCACTCTTTGCTGAGCTGGCTTATCTGGTCCACAACCACACTGTCCTGAGGAGGGTAGAGGGAGGCAGCCGACATGCCAAGCTCTGTCCCTCCAGCTCGAACTGCCGCCATCTCCAGGACACAGTCAGTGAAGGAAAGCATCATTCGTAGGTGCATCAGTGTGTCTGTATGCTCACGCTGCACCAGAGGTTAACCAGATTAAATATAAAACCAAAAGACAATTAAAAGAACATATCAATGATTCACAAAGCTGTGCATTTGATCAATTTCCCAGTTGAGGGAAGCCCCAGACCCTTCACTCACCTCCATCAGGGTCTCTTCAGGCAGCTCAGGGGCTTCGAAGGTGATGAATCCTTCCAAGCTTGGAGGGGAGGTCCCATAAGGAACATAGCGCAGACTGCTGGGTGCCCCCTCTGCCACAGGGACCTGCCCACCCCCAAAACCTCCTGGAGGAGAAGAGCCCATGGCCATGCCTGGGGGTGATCCGACATAGACCCGACCACTGGTGGAACACAGAGAGCCAGCCGAACTATTGGAGCCCACTAAGGAAATGGACAAAGAAAGAAGAGGCACATATAACTTATCATGTGCACTCCCACAGCACTGTTTGTCAGTGTTTGCCAAGACTCAAGATACCTCAAGACCTCTGTTTCCCTGCTAAATAACTGTTAATAGTCAATGTGCTTGCACACTAGCTGTGAGGAGTCCTCACCTGAGGTGGTGCGTGGTCGGATGCCCAGATTGCTGCAGGTAGGAGGAGTGGTGCTGTTGGGTGGTGAGCCCACGGTAAAAAGAACAGTACGAGGACTGACTGACCCACCCTGAGCCAGTGCAGTGGGACCTGGAGGGGCTTGGGAAAGAGGAAAATACAATATATACAATGTTCTTGGTGTTTACAGTGCAGTGAAGGAATATGGCACGTCTAAATCTACCTAGATCAGGCCGTGCTCACAAACTGAGTGACCGTGTAAGAACGAGACTAGTGAGAGAGGCCACCAAGACACCTGTGACTACTCTGAAGGGGTTACAAACTTCAGCAGGTGAGATGGGAGAGACTCTGCATACAACTGCTGGCTGGGTTCTTCACCAGTCAAAGCTTTATGGGAGAGTGGCAAAGAGAAAGTCACTGTTAAAGAAAACACATTAAATCTTGAGTAGAGTTTGCCGAAACGCATGTGAGAGACTCCATGGTCAAGTGGAAGAAAGAAGAATGGAGTAAAATTGCAGGGTCCAGATGTGCAAGTCTGACTGAGACCTATCCACACAGACTCAGTCAGGCTTGCAGCCAAAGCTGCATCTACTAAATACTGACTTGAAGGGGGTGAATATTTATGCAATCACTTATTTCCCATTACATATTTTTATTTAATTGACATTACTTTGTAGAAACCAGTTTTCACTTTGACAAATAGTTTTTTTCATTTTTTTTTTGTCAAAAAAGCCAAATTATATTGACCATGATTGATTTATAAAACCAATAAAAGGGTAAAACATCCAAGGAGTTGAATACTTTTTATAGGCAATGTAAGTTACACTGTAGGAAGTAACAGTATCATTCTGACATTATGTTTACATAAGACATTTCAAAGGGAAGAATACAGACAAGACATTAGTTATTATAAATACTGACTAAATGACTAAACTCAGGCAACCTGTGGTAAACACTGTCCAGAGTATGTGCAACTGTGCACTCCGTGTACCTGTGTCCATGGGTCGCTCTGTGTTCAGACTGTCAGTACTGCCCTGATAGGCCTGTCCACCAAGAGTGATTCTGACTGGCTGCTCAGACAGACGACCTGTACTGACAGACCTACAAAGAAAGGTAACATCAGCATGTTAAACAGCAAACAAACTGACGTCATGTGGCACAGAAAAACATCACAGGTGGGTATAATACACTTTCAGAATGACAACATTCTAGTTTTTTGAATTCCTAATTACATTTGAAGAGGGCTGTGTACCAAGCAGGTGCACCTACCACCAAAACTCTACCACTCTACTTTCAATATAATAATAAGTGAGATATCAGGGGTCATTTGATATCTACAAATGTCTACTTTTGTGAAAAGAATAACACTTTAAAAATGCATGTAAAACTACATTCACTGGCCACTTTATTAGGTACAACTGTTCATTAACGCAACTATCTAATCACCCAGTCGCATGGCAGCAACTCAGTGCATTTAGACATGTAGACATGGTCAAGATGATCTGCTGAAGTTCAAACCGAGCATCAGAATAAAGAAGAAAGGTGATTTACGTGACTTTGAACGTGGCATGGTTGTTGGACATGTAGACATGGTCAAGACGATCTGCTGAAGTTCAAACCGAGCATCAGAATAAAGAAGAAAGGTGATTTACGTGACTTTGAACGTGGCATGGTTGTTGGTGCCAGATGGGCTGGTCTGGCTATTTCAGAAACTGCTGATCTACTGAGATTTTCACACACAACCCTCTCTAAGGTTAACAGAGAATGGTCTGAAAAAAAAGAAAATATCCAGTGAGGGGCGAAAATGCCTTGTTGATGCCAGGGGCCAGACTGGTTCGAGCTGATAGAAAGGCAACAGTAAGTCAAATAACCACTCATTACAGCCGAGGTATGCAGAAGAGTAACACGTCGATGGGCTACAGCAGCAGAAGACCACACCAGGTGCCACTCCTTCAGCTAAGAACAGGAAACTGAGGCTACAATTCACAAGGGCTCACCAAAACTGGGCAACAGAAGATTGGAAAAATGTTGCCTGGTCTGATGAGTCTTGATTTTTGCTGCAACATTTTGATGTAGGGTCAGAATTATGCTTAAAACTACATAAAAGCATGGATCCATCCTGCTGTGTATCAATGGTCCAGGCTGCTGGTGGTGCTGTAATGGTGTGAGGGACATTTTCTTGGCACACTCTGGGCTCCTTAGCACCAACTGAGCATCGTTTAAATGCCACAGCCTGCCTAAGTATTGTTGCTGATCATGCCCACCCCTTTACACCAAACTGGTACTAGCAAGATGTACCTGATAGAGTCTAAATCTAGTCAGTGTGAAACTAATACTTCATTCAAATACAGTACCATAAGTAAAGATGTAAGTAAATATAATGACATTTACAGGAGCCCATATCCAGTACAAAATGTCAAGTTAAAGGCACCCACAGCACATTTATACAACTGTATAATAAATAAGTGAACAACAGTATCATGTCATTTTAGAGATGGCAAATAATGACTGGACCAGAACTGGGGGTCATCAGTGGCCAATTTTAGTTAAGGTAGAAGCAGAGATGGATGATAAAGAGAAACCTATAGTATAGTATAGTAGAGAAGTCTATAGTTCTGGGCAAGAGAAGGAAAAAGAGAACAAGGTGGTGTTTCCTTCAGTGAGTCATACCTGCCAAAGGTGCGACTGGCCTCCGGGGCAGCTGGCCGTCCTGTAAAGTACGGGCTGCTGTGGTGGGCACAGATATCCCGGCCATCAGCCAGTGTCCTGGTTGGGCCTGGGCTGTCTGCCAGTGCCATCAAGTTACAGGACGCCTGCGTTTTGGGAATCTTGAATGGTGTTGAAATGGTCTGGTTGTAAAAAAATGAAACAGTAAAACTTTGGTAACTGATATTTTAGCTGACTGGGTATTGACTATCTGCAGAGTTATTCATAATTCTACTTGCTTTAGTAGGTGAGCCGATGATGGTGGGCAGCGGGGACTTCTGTAGCCAATCGGAGGTACGGGGGGAGGAACCCAACAGTTTGGTGGGGGAGGAGCCGAGGTTGGCCAGGCGGCTTAGCTGAGGAGAGTGACTGCAGGAGGACGATGAAGGCTTAACGGGGTCTGACAGCTGCTTGTGAAGCTTCTGCCTGGTCTGATATACTTCAGTCAGGGTGGGGGCACTCTGGAGCCGAGCCCCCAGCAGCTGAGGGGAAGGAACAGGAGAACCTGGAGAAAGCAGAGGGAGTTAGTTTAAGTTTTATTTTAGGATATTTTTTGGCCTTTTTAGCCTTGATTTGTTAGCACAATAGAGACAGACAGGAAAGTGAGAGAGAAGTAAAAAGGAGAGAATGGGGAGAGCTGCAACAAAGGTCTGCAGCCAGACTCAAACCAAGGATGCTATGCAGCCTACATGGGCACCTGCCAACACCACTCTGCAGGATACTTACAGTCAGTTTGAGTTAATGACCTCCCATACACAACCAATATGGTATGGATCCTACAATTTGTGGTGAACACTTCAACAACTATACTTTATTCAGCATCTAGAGAATTAATTAGTATTTTGATGATGAACAGTGCATCTTTTTGGTCAGATAATTATACATAACTCCATGTCTTAAGTGTTTAGTAACAGCAGGGAGTGATGCTACTCATGTCACTTTCAAGAGCATTGCTCGGTCACACAGTTTCTGCCCAAACAACAAAGGAAAAACACTCCTGAAAGACTCCATGTTGGTCTCACAACCTGAATGGTTGTGTGATTTCCCAAACAGGAGACAAAGCACTGCTATCAGTGTGGCTGAGGTGTCATTACAGCCAGTCCACTGTTGCTTCAATCTTTAAAAAAAAAAGGGCACCATGAGAGCAGACATATTGGCATAAACAGGGAGACTGTAAGTCCTCTGCTTTGTTGATATACAGTAACAGCAGTGTCAGGACCATGACTCATGCACTTTGTCAATAACACAGCCATGACACAGAGAAGAGAATCTAAACAACAACTCCTAACTGCAGTTAATGCTAGTACTGCCAAGGGTAAATGTAAACACAAATGACAGTCTATTATTACATAAACATTTTCATACTGGATTTTAGTTGTGTGTGTTCTGCTAATGTTCAGTTACATTTCGTTTTCAAATTATAACCCATACTTCGATTCTTTGCATCCTGATAATACTTCCTATGCTCTCTAGATAAGGAATTGTTATTTGTGGGAGATTAAAACCCTGTGTTTGGTAAACCGCAACTTTTATTCTATTTTTCCTTAGTGCTACCCAATTACCATGAATTATATCTAGGTGAATGAGTTGGCAAAGTTAGATGTGAGTCAATGGTCAGTGACCAGGTTTTCAGGAGAGCAAGTGCAGAACTGTGTCCTTCTAGGGACAATGTGAGCTAATGTTATCCTTCTACAGAAAAGCGCAGGAAGAATGCTAGAGTCACCATCGGACGATGCTCTTGTCCCCATAAATGTGTGTTTTTGATTTGCTGCTCATATCCTGCACTTGCATGACTGTGTTTTGTAACTAGCTTTACACTGCTTTGTCTGGCCAATGAAAATCTAGGTTAATGTGTGGCATAACCTCTTGTCAAGTCAGAGAGAGGCAGAGAAGTTGGCAGTCTGAGAAAAAGCTGTAGCCATGCCATGGGAGAAACACAGCAAATGCCATATTTCCAAAGTTAATCTGTCAGCTGCTATTTTAAGTGATGGAAATGAGAAGAGAATTTAACAAAGCAGCCCACAAGTGGTGGTAAGCAATAGAAGGTCACTTTCAGCTTTTCTCATTTTTTAGGGGTCGCCACAGCGAATTGTGAAACTGACGACTCGCATGTTGACATTTGGCACGTTTTTATGCCAGATGCCCTTCCTGACGCAACCCTGATTCGAACCCGGGGCATAACGGCGAGAGAGCTGTGCCTTAACCACTAGCCTACCAGGGATGGCTCAGGTGGTGGTAAGCAATGCACAGTGGAAAACAGGGCACCTTTACAGTCAAGCAGGATCTCATTGTAAAGGACCGAAGTATGGTAACGAACATGTTTTTAACATTAATGTAGTCTTGGCCGAAATAGGAACAAGCTAATATATAGGATATATTAAGGAAATGCAGCAATACACCATCAAAACCAGGCATGCCTGGTGTTTACAGCAAGGTGATAAGAGACGATATCAGCTCACGGCTAAATCACTGGTGTTAGAGGGAGGCGACAGTGGTGTGGTGGGTAGAGCAATCGTCTCCCAACCAGAGGGTTGAAGGTTTGAATCTCGGTGCCTACAGCCCACATGTCGAAGTGTCCTTGGGCAAGACCCTGAACCCCCCCAAGTTGCCCGTGATGGTGGAACGCAGTGGCCCGGGGCCCTTGGCTCCAAACATAATTTCGTTGTATATGTTACAATAACAATAAATAAAGCTTCTTAGCACTTTTTTGTCGTGTCTAGTTAAAATAAATCTAAAACAAATGACTAACATGATATATGGCTAAAAGATAAGAAGTTAGCCTTTACCTTTATACCATTACATTAACTGAAATCATTACACAATCATTTATATTTGTAGTTAAAGTTAAATTTTAACAAAATGTTAGCTAAAACACATCTGTGGGAAGACACAGTGATGTTAAAGTTTTGTCAGCAGACTGACCTCCTGAGGAGCTCCGGCTGCGAGGCTCTTGGTTCTGCAGGTGATAACAGCAGTGACCCAGCTGCTCAGGGATGGTGCCCACTGCATACACAAACATTATTTTATTATTATTTATTAACTTTATTTTCATTGTGATATGTCCAGGTCATGTCTGGAAAGTGTTTATAATGGCTGAAGTGGCTAGAGATATGTCTGCACATGTCCCTACCAAGAGGTGAGGGTGAATAGGGCCGAGAGCTGCCGGTAGAGAGGCGTCGACCCACTGTCTGAGACACATCTGCAGAGTTAGGGGACCCTGAACCCATTTTGGGAAACCCCATGGGACTAGTGTTAGAGCGCCTCACAGTGCCAGACCTAGAAACAGCAAAGATGCATTAAAAAACAAACCCATAAGGTGGAAGTAAAAGTCATTCAGTTTTCAGAGCCATAAGATAAATATATTCTTGTTTCAAAGGAAATTATTCAAATTTAATTAATTCAATTAAGCAAAATTACACAAAAAAAATCTTGGCTTCATCAAATATTCAGTTATTCAACAACACTCTCCCAAGTGACGTCTTTCTTCTCTATTTAGCTCATTTCAGCTAATTTTGCCAGTGTGTATACTTGTTTGGCTGCTGAGTCAGCCCATTGATGCTGCAAGTACTGTACAAGACCTAGACACAGATCTGAGTCCCACAGAAACAAAGTAGCTGTAGGAGCATTTGCTGTGCATCTCAGCAAATTTTTGGTACAATGCCAGGAGAAAGCAACATTTTGTAGGGACCTCATCTAGTAACTGAGATGCAGTACACTCAAGATTCAAAGTGTTTATTGTTATATGTACAGTATGAAAACATGTTTCCCTGCACAATGAAATTTTACTTTGCTGTCCACCCTGAATGCCAAGCAACACAAATGAAATATAAAGTGGATAAACAGTAGCACAGAATCTAAACAGTCTTACTTTGCCTTCCATTAATCACATGTGGAAAAATAGAATTAAATGCCCTAGATAAAAAAACTGAAGGTACAGAGTCATAAAAAGGTATCCTGTGGAAGTTTCTTGTAAATAAAAGTTTAAAAAATGACCAAAGAGTATATTAAGATCCTTTAATATTTATACCTGCCACATTAAGTAAGGTCAAAGACAGTTTAAGAGTTTTCATCATAATAGCAAATGACAAAGCAAGCAAAGCACCAGATGAACACCAGTCAACACAGAAGCCAGGACAAAACATCTGAATAAAACACACATTAGCAATACAATCGAACTGACAGAGTCTACTGTACAGTACCTCTTGTACTCTCCTTTTCAGATAGCAGATTGTTAACAGAAACAACAGATCTTCCTGAAAAACAAGGTGCCACCCTTCTCTTCTCCTCTGCCCTCTCACCTGCTTTGTCTTCACTTAAAACTGCCAACAAATCCTCCCAACAACAGGCTGGGGAGGCCTCAAACTCAAGCTGATGAAATTTCAGTGAAATCTTCTTGCTGATGAAATAACATCCTAGACTTTCATTACCAAACAAAGTCACCACTTGATATTAGAATTGCCCATGATTTGGACAAGTTTCATACACTTTTAAAGACACACTTGTTCTCCCATAAGTTATCCACACTATGTTCTCCTGTTCTATATGGTGTGGATGCTGGAACAGCAGCATCCACACTCTTGTTATCTTCTTATTTATTCTGTGGATGAGGTAATACATCCACACTGTTCTTTATTGTGTGGATAAGCATCCACACTGTTATCCTGTTCTTTATTGTGTGGATGCATTACTGCATCTGTTAGGGTGATTTTTATTTTATGCACTTAAGAATGGTTTTATTTTATAACACACATAAGTTTACATACTTATATGTTACAGATATGCTTATATAGTTATGAATATCACTTTATGTGTTCACTTAACCACTGGTCAAATATTTGCTGTGTGAGTCACTGAAACACTAATGCAACATCATAAGTCTTGTCCACTAAATTACTGAATTTCATTAGATTTATGGCTGTAGCTAAGGGAGCTCATAGTTACGTATCGTTCCTCTGGATTGGTGGACCCAAAGGAGTCTTGGTACGGTAAGGCTCCAAGTTTATTAAAATAGATTAGACGTAGATGAGAGAGCTTCAAAGGGAGAACAGTTATGCACACGCACGCAGGCAAAACAGTTTTAATTTAGTGAAAACACAGGAAGACATGAGTGTGTATGTAGGAATTAAAGTAGTACAGGTATTCTTCCTCCTTTCTAGGGCGCTGTCCACGATGATTGGAGCAGAGAGGACGGACTGAAGGACCAATAACGGGAGAGTTAAGTCTAAACCATGGCTCCTCCCCAACTGTTTTGGACCAATTAGATAGTAGTACCTTTTCATACAAATATTGTTCCCCACTAAGTTGAAGTCAGTCTTTCTTGTTTATCCTAAACAGATAGGCTCCATGTGCACATGTTAATTTTGATACATTAATGCTTAATAAATTTCATATTGAGAAATATATATTCTCTTATTAGTCTTCTCTTTCAATATAAACGAACTAGCTCCACACATCCACACTCTTGTTATCCTCATATTTATTGTGTGAGTTGTGGCTGTAGCATCCACACTCTTGTTATCCTCTTGTTTATTGTATGGATGCTGAGTCAGCATCCATACCCTGTTATGTTCTTTATTATTGTGTGGATGCGAAGCAACCACAGTGTTATCCTATTCTTTATTATTATTGTGTGGATGCTGTAGCATCCACACTATGTTATCCTGTTGTTTATTATTATTATTCTGATGTCTTCTGTCCATGTTTCAGCACTTAATTTCTTCAGCATACATTCAGCTACAAAAGCCATTTTGGTATCAAAATGTTCAGCTCTTTAAGGTCAACAATTGTGTGTATTCAGCTTTTTTATAACTTTTACTTTTAACATATTTAGGGTTTTTCAGTAGATTTTGCCTCATTCAAATGAATGGGAAAAATTTTCACATCTTAATACCTTCAGCTAAAACCACCATTTCAACTAATAACTATTCAGCAACTCTTCAGCTATTCATACTGTAAACAGCTTTATGATATTTTTTATGGTTTTTGCATAATTACCATTTACATTTTATGTCTCATTTCAATAACCACACTCTAGTATTTCTCAGCGTATGACTACTCTTTCTTTCTCATACACACACATACACACAGACACACAAACACCTACACACCCACACACACACAAACCTACTAGTTTTACCTACTTTGCGGGGACCAATAGGAAAATGTTCAAATCTTAATAAGTTCAGTATACTTTCAGCTAGAAAAGCCATTCTAGTATCAAAATGTTCAGGTTTTTCAGGACATTATGGCATGCATTCAACTTTGTTTAAAAACTTTCATAGTTTTGAAAATATTCAGCATTTATTCTGACAATTTTGCCCCATCCAAATGAATGGGGAAATTCCACTTCAGCATAATTTCAGCTATCAAAATGTTCAGGTCTTCAAGGACATTCATGCTTCTCTTCAGGATTTTTCCAAACCTTATACACTTCTGAAATATTTAGCTTTATTTTGAAAGTTTTGCCACATAAAAATGAATGAAAAAATTGTACTTCAGCATACTTTCAGCTATTTCAGGTATCAAAATGTTCAGCTCTTCAAGGACATTCATGCTTCTCTTCAGGATTTTTCCAAACCTTATACACTTCTGAAATATTTAGCTTTATTTTGAAAGTTTTGCCACATAAAAATGAATGAAAAAATTGTACTTCAGCATACTTTCAGGTAGATATGCCTTTCAGGTGTCAAAATGTTCGGCATTTTCAGGGCGATCCTTCAACACAGAGCATCCACATGCATTTTCAACAGGAAATGCATTTCTCTAGTTTCTTGTTATCATAATGTTTCTTCTGCCTTGTATTTCGATATGATTTTTGTTTATTTAGTTTTTATCTGCTGTGCAGAACTTTGTAATGTATATTTAGAAAGGTGCTAGATAAATAAAGATTGCTTAAAAATTCACTCATAGTTGGCAAATTACCCATCAGTCACAAGTTGATAGTAACGAACAGGTGTCTTCGCCAGGTGTTTCATTACCAACTGCTGTCATCATAATGTTTCTTCTGCCTTGTATTTCGATATGATTTTTGTTTATTTAGTTTTTATCTGCTGTGCAGAACTTTGTAATGTATATTTAGAAAGGTGCTAGATAAATAAAGATTGCTTAAAAATTCACTCATAGTTGGCAAATTACCCATCAGTCACAAGTTGATAGTAACGAACAGGTGTCTTCGCCAGGTGTTTCATTACCAACTGCTGTCATCATAATGTTTCTTCTGCCTTGTATTTCGATATGATTTTTGTTTATTTAGTTTTTATCTGCTGTGCAGAACTTTGTAATGTATATTTAGAAAGGTGCTAGATAAATAAAGATTGCTTAAAAATTCACTCATAGTTGGCAAATTACCCATCAGTCACAAGTTGATAGTAACGAACAGGTGTCTTCGCCAGGTGTTTCATTACCAACTGCTGTCATCATAATGTTTCTTCTGCCTTGTATTTCGATATGATTTTTGTTTATTTAGTTTTTATCTGCTGTGCAGAACTTTGTAATGTATATTTAGAAAGGTGCTAGATAAATAAAGATTGCTTGCTTGCTTAAAAATTCACTCATAGTTGGCAAATTACCCATCAGTCACAAGTTGATAGTAAAGAACAGGTGTCTTCGCCAGGTGTTTCATTACCAACTGCTGTCATCATAATGTTTCTTCTGCCTTGTATTTTTATATGATTGTTTATTTAGTTTTTTATCTGCTGTGCAGAACTTTGTAATGTATATTTAGAAAGGTGCTAGATAAATAAAGATTGCTTGCTTGCTTAAAAATTCACTCATAGTTGGCAAATTACCCATCAGTCACACCTTGTCAGTAATGAACAGGTGCCCTAGCCACTGTAAGGTATAAATTAGGTGTTAAGAGGCAGCCTTACCTGGGGGAGCTGTAGAGCGTGGTGGTTGGGCTGCTAGAGAGGTTCTGCTTGATGCGCTGGTAGTTACGAACCTGGGTGGGAACAGGGATGGGGGTGGTCTCAGTCCATGGAGACACCATGGGAGTCTGTCCCGGGGTGGGTTGTGGCTGCCTGGAGGGGATGAAAGGTGAGAGGAGTAAGGTTAGCCAGTCCACCCGAGGCAGTTTCTGCTTCCACATCTGCAGGGCATCTTCAGGGGTGTCAACACCCATAATATTTTAAATCTCCAAAGGACTACTGCTTGTGTAATAAGTGGAACCTAAAAGACAAATGTAAGGTCTTTGTTTCTGCAGCCCTGAAGTCTTTGTTTACTTCACTAAAAGGCAGGTCAAGGAATTTTAAGTTCAGCCTGGCTGATCATGAGGGGAGTCAGTTGGTGGAAAAAAAGTGGGCAAGGCTTCCATGTAAGCTTACAGGCAGGACCAATCAGCTTCATGCTCATCCTGCTAGGGGCAGGACTAGACACTGAGCCAGACAATGGCACGTGCAAGGCTAGTCACAGCACAGGAAAGTGTAAAGAAACAGGTCATTCTTTTGTTATTCTAGAAGAGATATAATGTTCTAGTACATGATGTTACAACAGTCACCCACATGGCTTACTTAAAGAATCAAACAACAGAGGAGTGCAGGAAATGGCCGTTAGAGAGTGGCACAGCTGTAAACCAGTATTACGTAATGGGAAGGACAGGAAAGTCGGCAACAGAAAGAGAGGAGGAGGACATGTGAGGCAAAGACTTGTCCAGACAAAGAACCACAGAGTGGTTGCTGTGTGGGATTTTTGCAGTTGAGATATAACCATGTGCTGTCTGCCTCCACACACTTAACACTGATCAAGAAGATATTTGATACATTAATACATGATGGAAGATGTTCTGCTAAGAGCTTTATTGTTCCCAGCTAAGGGTTAGGAGAGAAATGTTGCCTTGTTAAAAAGAAATGGAGAATTTGTAGATCAGTGAACACCTGCTTTTTAAGAGGCAAGAGAGGAAAGAGGGAACGCACCAGATCTGCAAGTCAGCTGCCTCTCCTCACTGACCTGGTTTTTACATGCAGCTCAGGGGAGGGGGGATGAGGCCAAACAATTACAGCATATAATTTGTCATAACTCTTTTTCCTGTCCATCTCCCTCATTTGGTTGCCTTGTCTCTCATCCTTTTCCTAATCTCGTTTTCTTTACAGTGGTAATGCATCCTGCTCCTCTCTCCATCTCCTGAAGCCCACTTTGTTTCTGTACTTCCCTCCAAATTCTTCTTCACTTCCAATCAATTTAGAACACACAGGATGCAGAGAATAAACAAGACTGATTTAGGAGCTTGTTGAGCTTGTGTCTCGTGACTAAACTGCAAGAGACAACTCCTGTAATAAAGACAAAATTGTTGCTCCTGTGTTACAATGGAAGAACTAAAGGCATTAGATAGAGTCAGTGAAACAGCAGTGGACATGAGATCAGGTTGTGTAGTAACTATGCTAGCTGTTTAAACTCCAATAATACGATTTGAAGTATATATTGTCAACTAATCCTATGTGGAAAGGCTCAAAACAGCCCTGACTGTCTCCCACTAACAAGTGCTGTATATGTGTGCCTCATGTATCCCCTTCTTCTGTGCGGCAGAGCTCCACTGTTATCCACAGTCAGTGAGCAACACTGTTGCACTGGGTGACATGTTCCTTCATTACCATAAACACACACACACACACACACACACACACACACACACACTGTAGCTCATTTTGTCTCGAGTCAGACATACTAGTCACTAAACCACCAAATGTTATTCAGCTGCTGATTATAGACCCAAATAAATGTGCAATTTCCCCCTGATTGAGTAACATCTTAGGGAAATTATTGAGGCTAATTCAAATGTATTTGTGTCATTTGAGAATTGTACGGTAAAAAAAAAAAAAACATCTAAAATTTTAACTAAAAGTCCATTTAAGATTACTCTAATGAGACAATTAAGAAACAAAGATTCATTCATTATATATAGCTAGAGAAAGTATAAAAACTAGAACTGGGCAGAATATGAACAGCAGTGAAACAACTGCTGAACTTTGTGACCCATTGTGTAAGAACAGGCAGACTTGACAGTAAACTCTACTAAGTGGAATTAAGCCTGAAGAAAAAGAAGACAGTAAATGCTGCCATGTTTAGAGAAAGTGCTTGCAGTACCCATGTGCATGTTTTGGTCTTTGAATACACAGCCGAGGCACCAGAGTAGCAGTTTGTTAGTGCAGGTGAGTTTTGCCAAGTGTTTGAGGTTGTTCTTATCCCATAATCTTCGGTGGGTCAGGTGCTTTATTTAGCATAGCACTATTTTATTGTTTGGCTCAAAGTCTGATTCACTCACATTAATCATGAAGATCTGGATGTGGGCAGCAGAATGCACTTGTGACACATGGACAGTGCGTGTGTGTGATATGTGGTGTGAAGCAAAAACCGGGCTGTTTGTGATGGTCAGAGAGCTAGAAACAGTGAGATGACAAAACAACAAAAGCTTTGTTAAGATAAAAACACATTAAGAATGATTACATGACCATACACACATAAAAATTAGGTACTGTGTGTAAATCCTATCTGACACACACTGTCAGGTCACACTTCCAATGTCAGTCTGTTTTTTACTGTGACTTGTCAACATCCACATACACTTCATGAAGTCTATCTTGTTAGTGAAGCTGAGCTTCATTTAAAACATTATATAGTACCTGCAGCACAGATACTGTATAATTTTTGCCTCAGGTTTTACAAAGCCTTTAAATGTCCTATGTAATTTATATACACTCTCTTCAATAGGTATTCAGACTTTTTGCATACTTGTAGATTTAACTTTAAAAGTTATATTTAACCATAGAGTGACACAGCAAAAGCTATAACTAAATATGTCAGTTTTTGATTTTTAATATACAAAAACAATTTTTCACTTTGTAATTTTGGGTAACCAAATGAAAATTGATAAGTGAAAATGGCAATTTGATCTACTTAAAATTAAATCAACAGTACAAAAGTACTGCAAAAAGTGAAGGAGGCTAAATACTTTGATGCCACAGTATGACCAATGTATGAGTTAAATAAAGAACCAAATCTAGCAATCATGGTGTTCATCAGCGTTTTTAGTTAATCACAGCTAGAAAAAGTTCAGGAAATGTATAATTAGCAGTATAACACGGGAAACTATAAAGGGCATTAAGCTGAGATGTAAGGAAATTTATTTGACAATAAATAAACAAAATGACAAACAGAAAGAGATATATTATTAACTTGTATAAACATGGCAACCACAGCTGCTTGATGTAAAACAATAAAGCATGCACTTTTGAAATAAACCATTCTCTTTCTTGAGTAGAGTTAGATGAGAAGGTTGATATCACTTGTCATATTTGCCTGTTCAGTTGGAAACTACAGCCAGTAGGCCCTTAGCTTAGCATAAAGACTGAAAACAGATAAAACAAGAGCTAGAAGCTAGCAACCAATACATTAAAACCAAAAAGTTGTGGGTTTTTTTGTCTGATATGATGGTCACTGTTAGATGACACAACTATGGAGTCATAAATCTTTGGACATGAGATATGACAGACTACACATTGGTACCCAACAGATCACAGCCTGCTGTCGTTCATGACTTGGAGGCACTAGGGACTGGGAGAAGGGTGTGAGAGATACTGGCTCCTTCTGTTCAGAAAAGCATACAAAACTGGGGAGGAAAACCCCTGTGGACCAGTCTGTGGGTTCCAAGAAGAGGGCAGCAGCCTGTGTTCCCTCTCCTTCATGGAAAACGTGAGGTAGCAGTTAAATACAGTGGAACCTCGGTTTTCATATGCCCTACTTTTCATGCGATTCGTTTTTTTTTTTTCGACTTTTTGTCATCAAAATTTTGTCCCAGTTTTTGTGCATCCGCTCGGTTTTCCTACAGTTGATTGCTCGCATCACTAGTCCGTACCAAACTCGTCTACCTGCCCGCGTGACTCGACCACTCATTTCCCGGAATTGAGCGGCCACACAAAGCATCCCGTGCGTTCAAGAGTCAGTCTGCCATTGTGTTTTGTTCTTGTTGTGACTGCTAAATAAACCCCAAAGTAACCCCAGATAGGGCCTTGATACATGAAGTCCTTATGGAGGGGGATTCCCCTTCCAAACAATAACCTCTCCTCCTTGCCATCTTCCATACGCCAACAAGAGTCTTCAATAAGGTAAAAGTGATGTTAAATGTTCATTTATCCATTTCATTAGTCATTTATATTTATTTCTCATTGTTTTCTGTATGTAACAATATAGTTATTCTCTATAAAATGTATTTTTGAGTGTCTGGAACGTATTAATTGGATTTAAATGATTTCTTATGGGAAATATTGCTTCAGTTTTTGTACATTTGGTTTTCATCGGACCTTTTCGAACAGATTAATCACGAAAACTGAGGTTCTACTGTATAAGCATCTTAAGATAATAGTAAAACTGAAAACTAGCTAGCTGGCCCCAGGGTAGCTACTTCACAAGGCTGACTGTCAAAGTCAATATGCTAACATTACCTGTTGATACAGTATTTAATGAATATGGTTCAGCCTAATATGGCAAAAGTGTGTGAACAGAGGAGTGAGCTGTGCTCCTGTTGGTGCATCGGCCCACCGCATCATAGGTGCTGGAAAAAATTCTGATATGGTAGATTTTGTGTTTGGACGTTGTGGTTTACTATGACACTATTATATGAGATAAAACTATCAATTGTTATGTCCAGTGCTGTTTGCCCATTGTGACGTCCCATGACTGTGTAGTCTGAACCAGGAATTAGGAATTAGTGAGATGCAGTAACTTCCCCCCTCCCTGGAACCAAAACCTTAACGTGGTGGAGGGGTTTGAGTGCGTGAATGATCCCGGGAGCTATGTTGGGGGCTATATGTCCCTGGTAGGGTCTCTCATGGCAAACAGGTCCTGGGTGAGAGACCAGACAAAAGGCAGTCCTATGATGAACAAAAAAATCAAGGCTTACGTTTACCCTGCCTGGTATGGGGTCACCAGGGCCCCACCCTGGAGCCCTGCGAGCCCCTGGTGGCCAGGCCTATTCCCACGGGGCCTGGTCGGGCTCAGCCCGAAACCACAACGTGGAGCCGCTCTTCGGTGGGCCCACCACCTGCTGGAGAGGCCATAGGGGGCCGGTGCATTGTGTTTTGGGCAGTGTCCTGTGGCTGAGTGCCCGGCCGACCCAAACCTTGCACACCAACTCTGGTTCCTGGGACTTGGAATGTCACCTCACTGGTGGGGAAGGAGGCCGAGCTGGTGCAAGAGGTTGAGCGATATCGTCTAGATATAGTCGGGCTCACTTCCACTCCCAGCTTGGGTTCTGGAACCATTCTTCTCGACAAAGGGTGGGCCCTCCTCTATTCTGGCATTGCTCAGGGGGAGAGGCAATGGGCTGGTGTGGGCTTGCTTATAGCGCCCTCGCTCAGTCGTCAGGTGTTGAAGTTCACCCTGGTGGATGAGAGGATCGTTTCCCTGCGCCTTTGGATCGGGGAATGGTCTCTCACTGTCGTTTGTGCTTATGCACCTAATGGCAGTGCAGAGTACCTGTTCTTTTTAGGGTCCCTGGGGGGCATGTTGGATAGTGCTTCCACGGGGGGACTCTGTCATTCTACTGGGGGACTTTAACGCCCACATGGGCCGAGTAGTGAGTTATTGGATTTCTGTGCTAGTCATGGTTTATCCATAATGAACACCATGTTCAAACATAGGGGTGTCCATCAGTGCACATGGCACCAGAACACCCTAGGTCGGAGGTCAACAATCGACTTTGTAGTGGTTCCCTTTGATCTTCGGCCATATGTTTTGGACACTCGTGTGAAGAGAGGGGCTGAGCTGTCAACTGATCACCACCTGGTGGTGAGTTGGATTCGATGGTGAGGGAAAAAGTTGGACAGACCTGGCAGGCCCAAGTGTATAGTGAGGGTCTGCTGGGAAAATCTGGTGGAAGCCTCGGTCAGAGAGGTCTTCAACACCCACCTCCGACAGAGCTTCACACAAGTGCCAAGGGAGACTGGGGACATTGAGTCCGAATGGACTATGTTCCTCACCTCCATTGTCGGGGCGGCTGCTGGGAGCTGTGGCCAGAAAGTCTCCGGGGCCTGTCATGGTGGCAATCCCCAAACACAGTGGTGGTCACCGCAAGTAAGGGATGCCGTCAAGCTGAAGAAGGAGCTCTATCGGGCCTGGTTGGCTCATGGGACTCCTGAAGCAGGCGGCAGGTACCGACAGGCCAAGCGGGACGCAGCCCTAGCAGTCGCCATGGCAAAAACTTGGGCCTCGGAGGAGTTCGGTGAGGCCATGGAGGAAGACTTTCAGTTGGCTTCAAAGAGATTCTGGAGAACTGTCTGGTGGCTCAGGAGGGGAAGCAGTATTCTGCCAACACTGTTTACAGTGGAGGTGGTGTGCTGCTGACCACAACTGAGGATGTTGTCGGCCGGTGGAAGGAGTACTTTGAAGATCTTTTCAATCCCCCTGACACTCCTTCCGTAAAGGAAGCCAGGGTTGGGAACTCCGGAGGGGACTTGTCCATTACCCTGGCTGAAGTTGCCGAGGTAGTTAAGGAACTCCCCAGTGGCAAGGCTCCAGAGGTGGATGAGCTCCACTCCGAGTTTCTCAAGTCTGTGGATGTTGTGGGGCTGTCTTGGCTGACACACCTCTGCATTATTGCGTGGAGTTTGGGGATGGTGCCTCTGGACTGGCAGACCGGGGTGGTGGTACCCCTTTTTAAGAAGGGGGACTGGAGAGTGTGTTCCAACTATAGAGAGATCACACTTTTCAGCCTCCCCGAGAAAGTCTATGCCAGGGTACTGGAGAGGAGAATTCGGCCAATAGTCGAACCTCGAATTCAGGAGGAACAATGCAGTTTTTGTCCCGGCTGTGGAACACTGGACCAGCTCTATACCCTCACTAGGGTGTTAGAGGGTTCATGGGAGTTTGCCCAACCAGTCTACATGTGTTTTGTGGATCTGGAGAAGGCATTCGGCCGTGTCCCTCGTGGCGTCCTGTGGGGGGTACTTCACAATTATGGGGTGCGAGGCTCATTGTTATGGGCTGTCCTTTCCCTGTATGACCAGAGTAGGAGCTTGGTTCGCATTGCTGGCAGTAAGTCAGACCTGTTTCCAGTTTATGTTGGACCCTGCCAAGGCTGCCCTTTCTCACCAAATCTGTACATTATTTTTATGGACAGAATTTCTAGGCGCAGCCAGGTAATGGAGGGTGTCTGTTTTGGTGGCTGCAGAGTCTCATCTCTGCTCTTTGCGGATGATGTGGTTCTGTTGGCTTCATCAGTTCAAGACCTACAGCGTGCACTGGAGGGTCTGCAGCCGAGGGT